AATTTTGAGACAGGGTCTCTCCAAATTGTCCAGTCTGGGTGAGAATTTGTGAGACTCTCATGCCTCAGCTTCCCTCAGTGCTGGGACTACACCTGGTATAACTAGTCCTTAACCTGTGGGTGATGCCTTTCAAATACAAATTGTCTTTTCTACTCCTCTTAAGTGAGTTATAAGGACATACAATGCTCTATTCCACCATCTCCAAACTGAGAAACAGTCTTGTGCAGTGATAGCTCATTGTTTTTGCCAAGGTTTACATTGGAAAGTAAAAATTATGGGGAAAGTGAGCCACTAAAGAAGCAATTTTAAAAAATGGATTTTAAACCAACCAATTGTCTTAGGTGCTCTATTGTTGGGTTTTCTGAGAAGAAACTCAAAACTTTGAATTATAATATTTTAATGATTCACAGTATTTTTATCCTGAATGCTCAGATTTGTGAAAGTCGGAAGTATAACAGTATGAACCAGGCATGGTGTCAACACCTGTAATCCCAACCACCTGGGAGGATAAGGCAGGAGGATCTAAATTTTAAGGTCAGCCTGGGCAACTTTAGTAAGACCCTGTCTCCAAAAAATTTTTTTTCTGTGGTACTGGGGACTGAACTCACGGGCATTCTACCACTGAGCTATATTCCCAGCCCTTTTTATCTGCGACAGAATCTCGCTAAGTTGCTCAGGCTAGCCTTGGATTTGGGATCCTTCTGGCTTAACCTAAGTAGCTGGGATTACAGGGATGTACCACCATACCCTGGTTCAAACTAAAATTTAAAAAAGGTTGGAATGTAGCTCAGTGGTAGAGTACTTGCCTTGCATGCACAAGGCAGTGGGTTCAATCTCCAGTATTGAAGGAAAAAAAAAAGGTGGCATTCACAACTTTTTCATGTTTTTCTTTCTTTGCTCAAAAAAATGGTTCTTAAACAATTTACATTAAAGAATTATGCCAGATGATAAAAGCGTATAATCAGAAATAAGACATGGTCTCCAACTTTTCTCTAGAAAATCAGGGGAAATGAATAACATTAATCCTCCTTGTAAAGTTAATTTCATGGTTGTTCATAGTGAGCATGTCCCCCAAGTGTCCCCCACTTCTGTTCTCTCTTCAGATCCTAATGGGAGACAAACTAGACACTCTTTGCCTCCTCCTGTGGCTGGACATGGGGAGCAGTTTCACCTGTTCTCAGACACCAAGCGGCCAGACTGTGAGACCAGGGAGGAAGCTCAGGAGGCACCCCCTCTGCAACTACAGTCCTGCCTGCTTGGATACTTTTACAGAAGTAATGGGCCAGAAAAAGGAAAATTCAGAACACACAGTTACTATGCAGTCACCAAAGTATAGCAGTTTACCATGCTCTCCAAAGTTTAAAGCAAACAGGACATTTCACAAAGCTGGTGCCTTAAAGTATGTCTGATAAAATGTCAGGGTGCTACACTTAGCTATCAAAGACTGGGAGAGGACATTCCTGTGCCCCTTCCATCTCAGAGCCCCATCCCCTGATGACAGGGCAAGGTGACATGAAGTAGGGTGAAGCTCAGGGAGGGGTGAGCCTCCAGGGCAGAGTGAGGTTATCTGTACACATTACTTGGTATTAAAAATGCTAAGCACTTATTGGTTTCTTTTTTTAGGCTGCAACAAATACCCCCATGGAGAGCGTCTGAGGGAAAATGTCAAGTGTCTAGTTTTAAAGCAGAGCACAATGTTTAATATACAATATTTTTGGCAGTGCATTCCCCAAATGTCCCAGGCTTAAGACCTCATCACTGAAAAAAGTGAACTTTTGCCATAGCTCTTATGATAGGTGTTTTCTATAATTCCCCCTGGGATGAAAAAAGGACTCTCTTCCTCCCAGCATAGCATTCATCTGCTCTTTCAATGATTTTTTTCATTTATTCATCAGTCTGTCCTTTTATGAGACTGGTAAGCAAGAGATACAAAAGTGGGCATCACGGTCCTACCACTAACAGTGCGGTTCAGAAGCTTTTAGTGAGCGTGGACTACACGTCAGTCTCTGCCAGCGCCAGCATGAAGCTGTACATCTGAGGTCAAGGTAAGCTTTTAGGACAGCATGGCCCAGCCTGCTGCTGAAAAAGAGGCAAGAGTGGAAACACACAGCACGCCTGCATGCCACAAAGGAGTCTGGGTTTCACTGCGGAGAAAGGGCCCAGTGGAAGACTGTAGGGAGAGAAACACACAGATGCATGTTTTCCTGTGTTGCTCAACCAGGAGTGCAGTGAGGACTGCACTGGAGGAAAGACAGGGCTGAATACAGACAAACTAGTTGCAGACTAATGCCCTAATCTCAGGGAGAAATGATAAGAATCTAAACCACATCAGGAGAAAGGAGGGAGAACAGAGGACCTATGTGAGAACTATTGTATAAATAGAAATGTACATTAGACTATTGATTGATTAGCCTGTGGAAGTGGAAAGTCAGTCTTTCTTCCCGGCTTCCTGCATTTGGTCTAGCCGTCATTGGACAAGGCTCCACTGAGCACAGCAGGACACGCGGTAAGCTTATTCACTGATCTGTCTTTAAGGGAGGCCGGGAAGGTGGATGGGTTCAATTTTAAATGCTGTATTTGAGAGCTCCAGGGAATCTGAGCGGAGAGGTGCATGCGTCAGGAGGTTAACAACACTGAGCGGTGGAGTCTAGGAAATTCTCAGGACTATTCCAGAAGCGTGTGCCTGGCAACCTCACTGCAAAACCAACAGGAGCACCAATCTTGAAAAAATGTCATTTTGTACCGTCAAAAAAAGAGAAGCTGGAAAGCAGAATTGGGAGTTAATAGCAAAACATGATGCTACCGACTACCTGAGGGACACTTCGAAACAAGTCGCCTGCCAGCCTCACAGAGCCGGCCGAAGCAGACCTCCCCAGCTCCTACTCGCCTGTGGGGAGGCCGGGCGCACCCTGGCTAGGGTCTACGCTTGTCTCGGCGGGTGGACAGGAGAGCTGGGCTAGCGCCCCCCATTGGCAGTACGGCGAAGGTCTCCAGCTCCTGTGGCCACCAAACAAAGCCCAGCAAAGGAAAGCGGTTCGCCGGACCTGAGCACCACCGCGCTCTAACTGCAACGCGGGAAAGGCTCGCGAGCCTCTGAGGGCCGGAGCACTTTACCTGTCACGCTGGCCGTAGGGAATGTCACCTCCGACTCCACACGAGACCCCAGACTAGACAGCCGGTAGTGGGTCCGGCTCAGCGGCAGTCACACTCTCCCGGAGCCACGGCGAGTAGTCTGAAGGGATCCGCTTGGCCCGCTGGGCTGGGATTCGACCACGTGGGCGGCGGCGTCCCTCTGGAGCTACGCTCCAGGGGTGAGGTGGGGCGCGGCCTACACTGGGGGCGGGGCCAGACACGCC